ACCTTGGGGAGTGGAGGCCACTGTAGTTTTGTTGGTTATCTCGACTCCTACACATCTGGAATGCGTCACACGTCTAAGAATCTCTTCCATGTCTTTGCCCCTTTAGATCTCAGAAGATAGCAGCGGCTCTGAGAAAAAAATTTTATCAAGCAGATCGCCAGTGAGCACCAGCTGAGCCTCTCGCAATGGACATCTGGGCAGACCAGAGTAATGAATGCCCACATACCATGTGTGCTAATGAGAGGTACAGGACTGCCCTGTGCAATGACATCTCCACCCGGTATCCTGCTCCTGTCCGTTCCTGCTGTGGAGAGCCCCGTTTGGCCAGGAATCTAGCACAGAGTCAGAGCTCCTCAGCTTTCACAAGGTGTGAAACGTGTTCCGGTGAAGCATATTAGCAAACAGGTTTAATAGGCTAGCTGTACTGCCCAGGAATAGGGAGAGCACTGCCATGGCATTCATTGTGTTCTGCGTTCCAGAGCCCTTCCAGAGCAGCAGGGTGTATGTGACAGGCTTGCCCTATTGCATATAATTAGTAAACCCAGTTACTTGGGGCCCACCACGCCTGTGTCGTTCCCTTGCACTAAAGAGCAAAAGACATGAGAATTGATGATGGGGATGGGATCCTAATCCAGGAACACAGGGCAAGTACATACGCCTCTGGGAGTGAAACTGCAGCCTGCAGCCCCTGGACTCTGAGGGACCTGCTCAGCTAGGGGAAAACAAGGCTGTTTGGGGAAAATGAGCTAATCTCCGAGCTCAGCAGAGGCCACGCCCACCGAACTAGAGAGGCTGGAAGTGTGTAGAATGGGTCATGGGATCAATGATGAGAACACGGTGGTTGTTATACTAAGGGCTGGTCTACACTTACCCCCCAAATCGAAGTAAGGTACGCAAATTCAGCTACGTGAATAACGTAGCTGAATTCGACATACCTTACTTCGACCTTACCGCGGTTCAGACGCGGTCCACACGCGGCAGGCAGGCTCCCCGTCGACTTCGCGGTACTCCTCTCGCTGAGCTGGAGTACCGCAGTCGACGGGGATCACTTCCTGGTTCGATTTATCGCGTCCAGACCAGACGCGATAAATCGAACTCGGAACTTCGATCCGCAGCCGTCGAACTAACCGGTAAGTGTAGACTAGCCCTAAGTGAAACAGGCTTTAAAACCTCGAACCTGCTGTGGAGCCTGAGAGCCCCCCATTGAACCAGCAGACAAAACATTCATCGAAATTCTGGAAATTCTATCAAGTCACCTCTCCCCAAAGCCACTGGGAGTTGCAGAGAATTTCCACTTTTATACATGGAGTCAAAAAGAACTGAAATCATTCCTGAATTTGTAGCTGGACCAAGGAAATTAACAGAGCATTGCAAGTGTGGAGAAGGTTAAATGATGGATTTTGAGATCGTAGGGTTGACAGTTTTGACTGGACGTATTCCTGGCGCTTTCATCACATGACATAATCTTTAATTAATGATTAATCTTTAACTCCTGGCAACTCCAGGACAATCCTAAAGAAAATGAAGCAACCCAAGAATGATTATTGACCGACGCTGATTTGACCCTAAAATGTGCACTGGAAATTGATGCATCAATGGAGGCACCTACTAAAGATGCCAGGAAGCGGCAACAGTATCATGTACAACAAATAAAGTAGGGGCTTAAGAAGAAAGCACAACATGGCGAACACTCAAAGACTGCTTTCCTTGTAGCAAATAGTCTCATGATGCAAACAACTGTTGGTTCTAGTTCACAAGCTGTGGAAAGTGCAACTAATTGGGGCAGACACTACAAATGGGGAGGATAGTGCAAAATGCACAATCCTTGTCTCGTGAGGGGACTCCAGAGGATTTTAGATTGATCAGTGTCATATGTGTCGTCCACACAGAATGCTGAAGCATCTACAGCTGGCTGGGAAGTTTATGTCAAACTAGTGTTCTCTCAGAAAGTGCCATTTGGACAAAACCAACATTGTGCACAAACTCATTTAGATTTTGATTAAATTTCATTTTGAAAAAAAAATGGGGAAAACATTTCAAAACACCCGGTTTCAACATTTTCATAATTAACCATTTTGATTTTTCCTTGTAAAATGACTTTTCCTTTCTAAATCTGTTTCATTTTATATTTAAAAAGTAAAAAAAAAATGGTCAAAACTGAAATGAAAGGTTTTGAATTTATCAAAATGAAACATTTTGATCGATCCAAATTCTGAATGTTATTTTCAGAATTTCGTTTAGCAAAAAAAATTTAAAATGTTGCCCCAGTTCAGGACAAGGTTTTTTTTTGTTTTATTTTGAAATTTCAACATTTTTTCTTAGGATGTAAAATCAATTTTCTGACAAGCCCTAGCATCCTCTCTATAAATCTGTTTAATTTAGAAGACAATAAAAAAGTGTTATTTGGATTCCCTTGCAAGCAGGAGAAAGACTGAAAATAGCGCTTAATAGACACGCTGCTCGGTCTGCTCTCTCAGAGCAGGAGGATCAGAAATGATTTAAGGAGGTGAAGTTGCACAACACCCCACTGCTGCTAAAAACACACATGGGGAACTCCTCACGCTACTACAGTGGAGGAAACCCAGGACTGTACGCGACATTTGCTAAACCTCCCTGTCGTGACGCGAGCAGTTCCTGCATCCCTTGGGAGAGGGTGGCTCAGAGACCTTCAGATGCCCTGGCAAAGCCTCACATTCTGGCAGGTTTCCAAAACATAACTGATGAACTCCAGCCCCAAACAACTCCCCACGGTTAACCCAGGTTTGATTTTCCCCTGAATGAGCCAGTTAGTGATGCCACCAGTCTGGTTTTCACCTGGACAGTCCCGGTTTTGGCTTGTGTGTCCGGGTGCCACTTAACAAGCCCTGATGTCTGGGTTTTTTATCTAGGTGGGAAGAGGAGGAGCAAGGGTGGGGCCTTAGGGGAAGAGGTGGGGCAGGGGCAGGGCCTTGAGGGAAGTTGTGGGGTGGGGGAGGGGCCTCAGGAGTCAGGTTACCAGCCATTAGAAAGCTGGTAACCCTAGAGCTGGTCGGCCCTGTACCTGCAGTTTCAATTTCAGCTTCACTAGGCCTCTGCACTCACTCTCCAGCCCACTGTGCTCCTAGGGAGAGGCCCAGGGATGTGGGTGGCAGGGGGGTGAGCGGGTGTTAGGGGGAGGTCTGGGGATGGTGGGACAGGGGGCAGAGGGTGCTAGGGGGAAACCTGGGGGTGGGGGGCAGGGGGTGTTAGGGAGAGGTCTGGGGATATGGGGGGCAGGGAGTGAGCAGGTGTTAGGGGGAGGGGGCAGGGGGTGTTAGGGGGAGGTCTGGGGAAATGGGTGGGCGGGGGTGAGCAGGTGTTAGGGGGAGGTCTGGAGATGGGGGTAGGGGGTGTTAGGGGAACGCCTGGGGTGGGGGGGAAGGGGGTGAGTGGGTGTTAGGGGGAGGTCTGGGGATGGGGGGCAGGGGATGTTAGGGGGAGGGCCGAGGATGTAAGGATGGGTCTGGCTGGGGGTACCTGGGGGTGCTAAAAGGAGCCCCATTTTACACTCTCCAATACAACGTCTCTCTGGGGTGGAATCCTGGCCCAGTGCAGTCACAGGGAGTTGCAATGGGGGCAGGAATTCAGCCCATCTGGGAAAAGCTGCTCCACGGACGGCAGTGCCTGTGCTCAGACACACAGACTGCTCCCTGCGCTTGGCTGGTTACCAGTCTCCTGGGAGCGGCCAGGGAGCCCAGTGGAAAGCCGCACACAGAGAACGTCACATTATAAGAACCCCAGGGAATGCGAGCGGCAGGGTTGGTCTCTAGGAGCACTCTGATGTTTCCCATGAAGAGGTTACCGGGGACTTCACATCGGCCATTCAAGCTGCCCTTACAGGGTTGTTACTGGGCCACATTTGGAGCCTAACTTCAGTTGTGGCAGTGGGGATTTTAGCCCTGCTTTAAGTGGAACAATAAGGATGGAGTCGCTAGCAGCACCCCTGTAGGACAGTCTAGCTACTGTGGTGACTGCGTAGCTAGAGAGATAAAAACGGTACATAGATAGACTTGGCAGAATTCGAGGGTTTCTTTTAATTTCAATGTATAATATCGATGTTTATTTTTAAGCATTTTTTTTCTATTTTTATCAATTTAAATTTTCACAGTTGCAGGAAATTATGGAGGTGTCAGAGAATAATTATTTAACAACAGTACAGACTGAGATTCAAACATGCAACATACACACAACTTGTGAAACTCGTTGCCAGGCGATTGGGGGGACCCCATCACAGTTACTAGTCAAGATGGTACCCCTTGCTCCAGGTATCCCTAAACCTCTGACTGCCAGAAGCTGGGACCCGACAACAGGGGATGGATCACTTTAAATTGCCCTGTTCTGTTCATTCCCTCTGAAGCATCTGGCATTGGGCTAGATGGACCATTGGGCAGATGCAGTATGGCCATTCTTATATTCTTACGTTATGATCTTATCTACTTATCCCTTTCTTTTTGTTTCCATTACAATTTGTAACTTTTATTTAAGTTGCTTAGCCAATTATATTTTACCTAGCAAGCACACATGCAATTAAAAACAACCTTATACAGCTATACCAAAAAGTCATGCTCTTAAACATATTTCCACTTACAAGAAGTGTAGCTCTTATTTGCTAATAATTCTATGTTATCTTTTTTAGCATTATTTTTTGCAAAGCTTTCTGGGAGTTTTATCACCATGATAAATGCTTAAGCTTCAGGTCTTCATATGCCAACACCTGTTATTTCAGAGGTTAAAAGATAAGCAAGAAAAAACTTTTTTATAAAATGATGACAAAACTCTGGAGGCCTGTATACTGCCCAGCCTGGGTAGACAAACATAGAATATTAGGGTTAGAAGGGACCTCAGGAGGTCATCTAGTCCAACCCCCTGCTCAAAGGAGGACCAATCCCCAAGTATTTCCCCCCCGATCCCTAAATGGCCTCCTCAAGGATATAACTCACAACCCTGGGTTTAGCAGGCCAATGCTCAAACCCTCCCTAGTGCACTAAAAATAGCAGTGTGGACACTGTGGCATGGGCAGCAGCTCAGGCTAGACGCCCGAGTACATACCCTGGAGGTCAGGTGAGAGTGCACTTGGGTGGCTAGCTCTTCCCACCAACCACAACGCTCTGGCCATTTTTAGTGCACTAACTCCAGCAGAGCTAGCACATCGCTGTCTACTCAAGCTGGGAGAAAGAGAGATACTATTTCCCACCAGCAGCCACCTTCTCTGTCACATCTATTTCCTTGATCTGCACTTCAATGATGGACTTATTCTGTTTGGACATGGTGGCCGTCACCTGGATCTCCTGGTTGGTCACCTCCAGCTGGCCATATGGGTCCTTTACCTGCACTTTCCTGTAGGAGTCACACGAATAGGGAGGGCCGTCATTGTACATATAGTGGTAGAGGCGCTCCATGCTGTCGAAGTGCTTCCTGCCAGCAAAGAGCTCGATGGCAAACTCATTGTAGTATTGCAAGCGGTCGTAGGGGACGGAGAACATGATGGCCAGGGTGAAAGTGTCGGACTCGTAGCTCAGCACCCCAACGCTCCCGCGGGCCGCATCGCTTGTTTTCACAAACACGCTGCTCCCCGAAGAGCCGGGGGGAATGTTGGACACAGGGTCTATTGCAGAATGGCCGCTGAAACAGTAAGTCCTGGAGGAAAACACCACGGGGTTCCTTCATTACACAACATCCCTAACAATAATTAACTGGGGGTGGGGGATGGGGCTGCCCCTTGCCCAGCGTGGGGCAGGAGCGGTGACTACAGGTGGGGGGTCCCCCTGTGCTGGTGGAGGGTCCCGCTGGAAAAGGGAATGGTTCGTCCATCTCAGGTGGAAGGGCAGGGTCAAGGTCAGCCTTCCCTGGCACTAGTGGTGGGGGGCGCTAGGACCCTGTGGCAGCAGTTGATGCCGGAGCTGGCAGAGTGGAGCACAGTGGGGAGCTGCAGGGGGCAGCCGCCCGCTGCCCAGGGCAGAGTCAGGGACATTAAGGGGAGGCGTGTGGGGGCATCAGGTGGGGCCAAGGGAGAGACCCCGGGGACTCTCAGGGGAGAGAGAGATAGATGGGATGTATGGGGACTGATAGACAGATATTCAGTAGCAGACCCATACCCCACACCCTGGCACATCTGTATAGACACCAGCCGCAGGCTGACTTGGGAAGTCGCGTGGAGGGGACTATGGGAACCTGCTTACCTGGGGTTCTCGAGGGTCACGTCTCTGGTGTTGTTGGTTATCTGGATGGCCACACACTTGCTTGCATTCACCTGCAGAATCAGCTCTTCAACGTTAGTCATCTCGCAGCAATGAGGGATTGTTCAGTAGCAGCTCCTGCAAAGCACTGTTAGACCCACAATAGAAGTCTCCCTACGGGATGGGGAGCAAGCAGACACCGGACACAGTGTTGGTATATAATACTCTAAATGATTACAAAACAAACCTTACTCACTCCACATTCACACCCCAAACATACTACAGTAACTCCTCCCTTAAAGTTGTCCCAGTTAACGTTGTTTCCCTGTTATGTGGCTGATCAATTAGAGAACATGCTCCTTTAAAGTTGCGCAATGCTCCCTTAAAATGTTGTTTGGCAGCCACCTGCTTTGTCCACTGCTTGCTGGAAGAGCAGCCTATTGGAGCTAGCTGGTGGGGGCTTGGAACCAGGGTGGACCAGCAGCCCCCTTGTCAGCTCCCTCCTCCCCTAAGTTCCCTGTGCGGCAGCCGCCCAGCAGGCTACCAATTGCTGGGCAGTTCAGCTGTCCCTTCCCGCACTGTCATGTGCTGCTCCTGCCCTCTGCCTTGGAGCTGTTCCCAGGAGCCTCCTGCTTGCTCTGCAGAGGGGGGGGAAGAGGGGTGCTAATGCCAGGGTGTCCCCCTCCCTGCTTCCGCCCCTCCCCCCCGCTCCTGTACTTTATCTCAATGGAGCAGTATGGGGACACCACAGGGCTCAGGATGGAGGGAGCTTTCTGGCAGAAGCTGCTGTCTCAACTTGCTGATCTACTTAAAAAGGCAGTGTACTTTGGGTAGGGTCAGTGTACTTAAAGGGACAATGTGAGTCTCTCTCTCCTACACACGGTGTGTGTCTCTGTCTCTCTCTGCCATGCTGTTGTTGGGATATGTAAGGGTTAAAGCAGAAAACTGGGAAACTGCTGGTGAACAGAGATGGCATTAGGGAGTAAAGGCACAGGCAAGCACCACTTCTGCGCCTGATAGATAAAATGTAGGTATTTCTCTGTGTTTAATAGATTTAGGGCTACCCCTCTCCCCTCCCTTCTCCTTTTAAGGGTTTGATAACGTTGCAGATGCCTGAGGAACGTGGGGACCAAAAGGATGCCTTTTGGGGTAAAGTAGTGTTATCTCCCTCCCACTTTCTTTCCCAGCTGCACAGGCGAGGTTAGAGTCATGGCCCCTTTCTCCCTCCCCTGCAAACTGCTGATCCAAGGAGTTCATGACTGCAATTATAGCAGAAAAGTGTATCTTCAAAGTAAAACTTATCGGTAGAATATGCTAATAAGGTAAATAGTAATCAGGGGTGGGAATAATTATATTCAGTATTCATAGATTCATAGATTCTAGGACTGGAAGGGACCTCGAGAGGTCATCGAGTCCAGTCCCCTGCCCGCATGGCAGGACCAAATACTGTCTAGACCATCCCTGATAGACATTTATCTAACCTACTCTTAAATATCTCCAGAGATGGAGATTCCACAACCTCCCTAGGCAATTTATTCCAGTGTTTCACCACCCTGACAGTTAGGAACTTTTTCCTAATGTCCAACCTAGACCTCCCTTGCTGCAGTTTAAACCCATTGCTTCTTGTTCTATCCTTAGAGGCTAAGGTGAACAAGTTTTCTCCCTCCTCCTTATGACACCCTTTTAAATACCTGAAAACTGCTATCATGTCCCCTCTCAGTCTTCTCTTTTCCAAACTAAACAAACCCAATATAGGGTTATTAATATTCATTGTATGGGCGTTCATATTACTCCATAAGGGTTTTGGGGGTGTTGTAATAAATGTAGGAATTTACATACTAATATAGATAAAAAGAGTATGATGTAACTAATCCAGTGCTTACTGGACAATTGGGTCCAGGGGAACAAGTACCGCAATAAAGAAGCCAGGGCCAGCTCTGCCTTTTTTGCCACCCCAAGCAAAAAACGCCGGGCCGGCCGGAGCAGCAAAGGGGGCGGGAGAGAGGGAAGGAGGAAAACAAACCTGCCCCCGGCCGGAGCGGCAGAGGGGTGGGGGGGAAGAACAAACCTGCCAGCTGGAGCAGCAAAAGAGGGGGGGACAAACCGGCCGTCCGGAGCGGCGAAGGGGGGGGGCGGGAGACAAACCTGCCCCCGGCCGGAGCGGGGAAGGGGCGGGAAACAAACTGGCCGGCCAGAGCAGTGAAGGAAAGAAAAAACAAAAACAAAATACCTGCAGGGCGGCGGGAGCGTGGGTGCAGGGGGACTCCCGGCCCTGCAGACCCCAGGCGACGGAGTGTGCACCCCGGCTAGTGGGGGGGAGAGAGAGAAGGGGGGACCCCAGAGCTTCCTTAAGCGGGGCGCTGCCACGCGGCCCCTCCATGGGTGCCTCCTGCCGGGAGGGCTCCACGCCACTCCAGTTGGCAGGCAGGGAAGGACGCGGAGTGCCCTCCTGGCTTGCTGCAGGGCGCTCCCCTCCTCCGCCCCCTACAGGGCGGCGGGAGCAGCAAACCAAAAAGAAAAAACCTGCAGGGGCGGCCAAAGCGGTGAAGCGCAAAAAAGAAAGAAAGAAAGAAAGAAAAGGATCGGACGGAATGCCGCCCCTTGGAATCTGCCGCCCCAAGCACGAGCTTGCTCCGCTGGTGCCTGGAGCTGGCCCTGAAAGAAGCCCATCTACTCAAATCCGCCTCTGGGTCAGCCTGTTCCTCTTCCAACAGCTGACTCCCCTCCCTCCATTCCTGCTGCCTTGTAGAGTGTGAGGCTACATTAACAACGTGTTAACCCTTGAAGGCTCAGCCGAGTACTAGTGTAACAATGCTGCTTTGGTGGGATACAACTGAGAGTACCAATTCAGGACAAATTGCTAGAGCAGGGCAGTCACAGCCCCAGGCTTGTGGTTCTCCACCTCTAAGGCACACCAAACCAGCCAAACAGAGAGGACTTCAGTCTCACCCTACTGGCTAACCAGAAGTCATACAAGCAATTCCCTTAGACACTCCAGTTTCCCAGGATCACCACCGGTGCCACTCGTTATGGGGAATGTAGAGAGGTTAGCTGGGGCTCGTCTTTCTCCGGGGCGGCAGGGAACCACACCGCCTCACTAAACTCGGGAAGAGGTCTTGTGGGGAATTAGTTCAGCTGCGGGAGTCTTCCTCTGCAGCCTTTGTGAGGGCAGAAATAAACACAGTAAGCCCAGGCCTTAGGTCAGGGCGGAGCAATGGTGAGTCAGGCGCTCAGGCCCTCAGGCAGGGGCTGAGCAACAACAGTATATAAGCAGTAGGCCCAGGCCCTAGGTTCCAAAGGGCCAGGGAGAGGGGGAGACTGCCACCCACAAGTTGGGTGGCAGGGGGGATGCAGGCCCATCCACTCCACTGCGTCCCAGCCCGAGGCCCTAGCAGCGGCCCAAGACCCGCTGCTGCATCAGAGGGGATCCTGGCTGCAATACACTGACATGGGTTCTGGCAGTGCTGCAGCCAGACTAGGGTCGGCTGCCCCCAGGCTACTTCCAGACTCCCCCTCTTGAGGTACCTGAGTCGGGGTGGTGTCTCTCATAGACTCATAGACTTTAAGGTCAGAAGGGACCATTATGATCATCTAGTCTGACCTCCCACATGATGCAGGCCACAAAAGCTGACCCACCCACTCCTGGAATAATTCTCTCCCTTGACTCAGCTGTTGAAGTCCCCAAATCATGATTTAAAGACTTCAAGTCGCAGAGAATCCTCCAGCAAGCGACCCCTGCCCCATGCTGCGGAGGAAGGCGAAAAACTTCCAGGGCCTCTGCCAATCTACCCTGGAGGAAAATTCCTTCCCGATCCCAAATATGGCGATCAGCTGAACCCTGAGCATGCAAGCAAGATTCTCCAGCCAGACCCTCCGGAAAAAAGTTCTCTGTAGTAACTTTTAATATCCCATCATTGACCATCGTTACTAATTACCAGCGATGGCACGTTATTGACCTATTGACTAAAATCACGTTATCCCATCAAACCATCCCCTCCATAAACTTATCAAGCTTAATCTTAAAGCCAGAGAGGTCTTTCGCCCCCACTGTTTCCCTCGGAAGGCTGTTCCAGAACTTCACCCCTCTGATGGTTAGAAACCTTCGTCTAATTTCAAGCCTAAACTTTCCGACGGCCAGTTTATATCCATTTGTTCTCATGTCCACATTAGTACTGAGCTGAAATAATTCCTCTCCCTCCCTGGTATTTATCCCTCTGATATATTTAAAGAGAGCAATCATATCCTCCCTCAGCCTTCTTTTGGTTAAGGTAAACAAACCGAGCTCCTCGAGTCTCCTTTCATATGACAGGTTTTCCATTCCTCGGATCATCCTAGAGGCCCTTCTCTGTACCTGTTCCAGTTTGAGTTCATCCTTTTTAAACATGGGAGACCAGAACTGCACACAGTACTCCAAATGAGGTCTCACCAGTGCCTTGTATAACAGAACCAGCACCTCTTTATCCCTACTAGAAATACCTCGCCTAATGCATCCCAGGACCGCATTAGCTTTTTTCACGGCCACGTCACATTGCCGACTCATAGTCATCCTGCAATCAACCAGGACTCCGAGGTCCTTCTCCTCTTCCGTTACTTCCAACCGATGCGTCCCCAGCTTATAACTAAAATTCTTGTTAGTCATCCCTAAATGCATCACCTTACACTTCTCACTATTAAATTTCATCCTATTACTATTACTCCAGTTTACAAGGTCATCCAAATCTACCTGCAGGATATCCCGATCCTTCTCCGAATTGGCAATACCTCCCAACTTTGTATCATCCGCAAACTTTATCAGCCCACTCCTACATTCGGTTCCGAGGTCAGTAATAAATAGATTAAATAAAATTGGACCCAAAACCGAACCTTGAGGAACTCCACTGGTAACCTCCCTCCAACCTTACAGTTCACCTTTCAGTACGACCCGCTGAAGTCTGCCCTTTAACCAGTTCTTTATCCACCTCTGGATTTTCATATCGATCCCCATCTTTTCCAATTTAACCAATAATTCCTCATGCGGTACCGTATCAAATGCTTTACTGAAATCGAGGTATATTAGATCCACCGCATTTCCTTTATCTAAAAAATCTGTTACTTTCTCAAAGAAGGAGATCAGGTTGGTTTGGCACGATCTACCTTTTGTAAAACCGTGTTGTAATTTATCCCAATTGCCATTGACCTCAAGGTCCTTAAC